ACATACCATAATTCTCCAGCTAAAACCGGAGCTGCAGGGGGGAAGAGGCCGGCGGCAAGCTGCAGGGAAAGCTCACGGGTTTACCCAAAATTGGAGAAAATAAGAGCAATCAAAGTAAACCCAAGGAAATTCAAAGCTAGAGAAGGAGAATTCGAACTATTTCTTACCAAAAGACCGAACAAATCACACCCACAAAGCAGGAGCAGCCGGACGATGAGGAGCAGAGCAAGGCAGATCCGGATTCTGCAGAGGGGTGGGAGAAATTTCTGGGTTATACATGTGTTGTAGAGCAAGAAAAGAAGGAGAAATCCAAGCTTATCTCACCGGTTTCTCAAAGGCATGGCTGGGTTCTCTTTCTTTTTCTTTTGAGTGGCTGCAGCGGGAAGAAAGGAGAAGAAGAGCAGAATCGGGCAAGGCTGGGAAGAAAAGAAAGAAAGAAAAAGAAAAAGAAAAGAAGTTATCCTTATCCAAAATCTTTCCCTCTTTAAGTCCCTCAACGTTTGAAATATTCACATTAGACCCCAAAACAATCTTTTCTCACAATCAAGTCCTTAACTTAATGCTAAAATTCCCGAAAATTTGGGATATTACATCCACCCCTCCTAAAAAGGAGTTTTGTCCCCAAAACAATCTTTTCTCACAATCAAATTTAACCAAGCAGTCAAAATTAAGAGACAAGAGTTAACCATGAAACAAGCAATAGAATTCAAGGATTAGGCCCACAAAAGAGATTTCAATAATGACAACTAGAACACAGATTCAAGAACAGATACAACCAGGATGTCAAGATTCAACACCCCAAGTAACACGAATTAATTAACAAAACAAAGTAATGGCTGGGATCAAGATGCTTAGAAGATTACTGTCTTTTAATTAAAAGGGCAAACAAAAATCAAAGCAGCCAAATAAAAGAACCATTTCTCTTGGAACAAAACTCTACGGCATCAGGTATTTCAAAGACTACCCCTTCACCTTGTAGCCCATGGAAGCTAAGTAGATTTACAATCAAGTCATCCTAGAGTCAAGTCAAAGTCAAGACATCAAGAACACATACATTAACACTTGCAAGAGACAAGAATTAGGATGCCTCATATAGGTATTTCCTAATAATCATCACCCCTCCTAAAGAGGTGTCCATATGAACCAAAAATCAAAAATCAAGAAGATCGACAGGTATACTAAAACAAGAACTAACAGAATATGCAGGATTTGAGCAAGAGCAGTATACAAAATTGAGCAAGAGCAAGGGTCAGGACAAGAATGGTTTTCAAGGACAATTCAAAATAAATTCCAAGAACAATGCAAGAATTAATTTCAGACAAGTATCAAGATAATGAGAATTTCAATAATCATTATCCATTTTTGGATTTCAGTTTCAAGAACAAGTACAAAGCAATATCAAGAAAGATTCAAGACAAATTTTAGGAGTTTTAAGCAATTTCAACAGACATCAAGAATGTAGAGATTAACAACAATAGAGAGTTTAACTTTATGACAACTTGCCAATCTTCACAAAAACCAAAACATTCTATATTTAAATCACAAAAATAAGAGAATAAAATTAAAAATTATGTCATTTTCAACACTAAAAAACTTATATTCTATAACTTTTGATCATAGTGTTCCATGTTAATCCCACAACAATGGATATGCTTTTGTCATGTTTAATTCCAAAACAATGAACTATTGTACCTATGATTTTGATGATTATTGTCACACCCCAGGACCCAAATCCGAGGACGTGGCAGACGCCGTACACTCATGAGAGGATCCCACAAATACACAAGACACGGAACTTATCCAATTCACATCTGACAATCCAATAACTTAAATCAAATATCTCAAAATAATTCTATGTCCAACAGGACTTAAGCTCAAAATCTCAAGGTGAAATCTCTTGGAAACTAGCAATCCATTCAATGAATTTATAAACTCTCCAAATAAAGTCTAGCTTACAAGATCATGATTTATATCTAAAATCTATGTTCAATTTACAAGATGGCTAGCCTTCTAACTCATCACTCCCCTCGTTTTTCCCCGTCCTTGATTTCGCTTCCTGAAATGGTGGACAAGGAAAAACTATGAGATAACTCAATAAGTAAATATGGATAGCCCTTAATTAAACTTATAGCATGCCACCAAATATAATCGCGAAAAATAGATACGGGTACGGAAACGAAATAGACATCTCCTCTATAGGTCATGGCCAGTGTTATAAACCTCCCACTGACAGGCACACGATTTACTAGTGTATAATTCCACTAGCAGGATAACAGAAACGAACTGGTTCTATCAGTAACATGTCGACATGTGCTAGCATTTATAAATCTCCCATTAGCGGGCACACGAATAACATGACCATATCGGAGACAAAACAGACAGAAGTTAACAGAAAAATCACAATTCACAATCACTTTCAAATCACTTTCAAATCATCGGGACAGTCAAATAAACTCCAAGCAGGGCATGCTCAAATCAATAAAAAGAATAATAATCTTATTTCAAATCAATCTTGCTCATTTTTGTATAAAACGGGTTTAGTCTCGCCATCACTTCAAAAACAAGTTAAAATATACTTTTAAAATCGAAAGGTGTTACCATAATTTACTTACTTCACTCGCATAAACCGAGAACTCAATCCCAGTGCTCTAAGCCATAATAGCACCTAATATTCCAAATAAATACATTCAGACTTTGCTAGAATTATTAGCACAACCTCGCAAATTTACTAACCAATGAGCTTCACACACGAAATTCAACCATATGACCAAACATCTCAATTTTATTCTCAATATAACTACACATTTAAACCCTCCTATTGTTGGCCATTAGTGCATGAACAGTGACCATGAACAGTGATCACGCCATGAACAGTAACGGCAACTTCCAAAATTGGCAAAACCATAGCTAATCTCACAGGATTTTTTTCTCCAATAATCACAGCAGTCAATTAACACTCAATCACATAAATTCCACTTGAATCAATGCTTAAATTTTGTCCTAAAGCTACCGGAATTCATCCCTCTAATTCAACAAAATTCAGACAGCACATGGAGCTGTGATTCATGGACTAAATTCAGCAACTAATGAATAATTTTAGGCTTAAAAAGGCTGTCACATACCAGAATTTAGCAGCAAAAACCGGAGCTGCAAGCTAGGGGAAGCCGGCGGCAGTGCAGGAGAAAATCTATCGAAATTGGAGAACCAAAAGCACAAATTAGAGTAAACCCAGCATAAATCAAGGCTAAAGAGAGGAAATTCATGGCTGATTTTTACCAAAAAGACCGAAAATCACACCCACACAAGAGCAGCCGACGGTGAGGAGCAGAGCAGAGCAGATCCGGGATTTTTGCAGAGGGGGGGAGAGATTTCTGGGTTCTATATGTGTTCTAGAAGTCTAGAACAAGAAAAGAAGGAGAAATCCCCAAGCTTTTACCGGTTTTTCTTCAAGGGAGGGTTGTCGGCAGCTTGGGGGCTTTGTTCGGCTGCAGAGGAGAAGAAAAGAAAAGCAGACACGTGGGTGAGGAAGAAGAAAGAAGGAAAAAAAATAGTGTATCCTTATCCAAATCCTTTTCTCTTTTAAGTCCCTCAAGTTTAGAAATTTTAGCTAATAAGCCCCAAATAATATTTTTCTCACAATCAAGTCCTAACTTAAATGATAAAATTCCCGAAATTTTGGGATATTACAATTATAAAACACATTTGAGTGACTAATTGGTTCATTTAAATGTGTAGTTAAAATGTAAAAAGATTGCAAAGTAAGTAAACTTGGACTACACTAAAAATAGACCAAAAGGCTTGAAAATATGCAGAGAGCCGGCTGTTGAAACTTACAGTCGGCTGTGGGAGCGCAAAAAGCTGGCTTTGGAAGCTGCAGCCGGCTCTACAGGTAAAAAGTTAAAAGCAAGTTATTTGGCGCACACGGAGAAAAGACGTAAAGTTGGATCCAACTTTGCAGCCGGCTGTGAGGGTGCATTTAATGCACAACGGTCGAGTTATTTGAAGATTATTTAATGTGTTTAAAGTAGGAACCCCAAAGTCGGCTCTAGGCTTTGCAGCCGGCTGTGGAAGAAAACAAAATGTGCAGGAATCCCGAAAAGCCGGCTGCAGAATTTTTGAGTTGACTCTACGTAGAAAACATAATGCAGGAATCCCGCAGAGCCGATTGCAGCAAAGTTAAGCCGGCTCTAGGAAGTTAAACCGGCTGTCCTGACAATCCTGCAACTCAAGTTTTGCGTCTTGCAAAAGCATTAAATGACCCCTAACGGCTAGTAACGGCTATTTTCGACCATGGGGTTATAAATATGGTTGGTAGAAGATCTGGAACAAGTTTAAAGAGCATTGCATTGAATATCTTTACCTACCTACATGAGCTTTAACTTGAGTTTTTGATCTTTGAGAGATCTTTACTTGCAATCCTCTTCTTGTTCTATTTGTGAGTGATCTTGGGGGTGTGATTAATCCTTCAAGAGTGATTTGTAGAGAGGATTCTTGGGGTTTAAGTGTAAAGGGGTGAGATTTGATAAAAACACCCTTTTTCTTGTAAAAGGATTGAGTGGCTCCTTTAAGCCACCCTTGTTGTTGTTAGTGGAGAGTGTGGAGGAAATCCTTGGTGAGTGAAGCCAAGGTAGAGGACTAAGTTCCAAGTGGTTGGACGGAATCTCTATAAAATCATTGAGCAAGCTCTTCTTCTCTACTCTCTTTAATTTTGGTTTTGTGGTTGCAAAATGAGAGAATTTTTGGAACTCCAATTCACCCCCTTTCTTGGAGTACATTGAGTCAACATAAACCATTGATATTACGGAATTAGTGCAGCCTCAAATCAATCTAACAAAAATTAATCCTCTAATCACTTGCATAGGCCTTATCACTTGAAAATATAATAGGGTCATATTCAAGAGTAGTGTTGTTGCCTTCCCCTGTTTCAACTTGAGCATGGACATCAAATGCCTCTCCTTTATCATCCACGTCAGCTCCCAACTTCCAAATAAGTTTGTTCACTATTGTCAATGAAAAAAGGAACCATGAATCCAAATAAGTATACAACCTGGCATGGAAACATGTCTAAATAAAATTAATCTCATAAAATTAAAATTAAAATGCTTTAACACAGCCCTTTCATTAGCCTATGGCAAAAGAAGATAGGAAAACAAAATAAAATTCATTACCAACAAAATGCCTCAGACAAGTGCTGGTTTCTAATTCATCATAATGAAAGGACTAATGTTTTGAGGTATTTTGATCTTATTTCGAAGAAATTAAAAGTATTTTTTATAATATAACACCTTTTGTATTCAATAGAACATAATAAAGATCTTCTAAAAAGATTGCTGTGTATCTGTATATGCATGACAGTTAAAGAGTGACAAAGGAATTTTAATTGCAAACATTGGTCAATCAAATAACCAAGAAAGATTTTCATATTTACCAAAGAAAAAAGTTCCTTGTCAAGCCAATCCACAAACTTTAGGACATCTTATATATCACTACAAGCAGCATCTAAAACTTTTTGGATGAAATTATTGATGAATTCTCCTTTTGTTTCAATATCAGCTATAATCTAGAGAAAGCCAAACAGTTAAAAATAATAGAATCATAAAAAAACAATGACCTTTTGAGATAGTTTCTAACCAACAAAGATATGCACATGAAAAAACAAAAAATTGAGATCGTTTCACAACTCATAATTATGAGGGAATCATATCATGAGATGCCTTGAGCTTAGACACAAATATTGGACCCCTTATAGAAAGCATACATTAAACCCAATATCCATATTTGAAAAAAAAAAAATTAAGAATGCCTTATCATACACATTTAGAGTCCACAATTCAAGAACAATTTATTTTACTTCTCAAATCTCTCCCAAAAACAAAAGAAAAAAGAGAAAAAAAAAAAAAAGGGGGAAAAACACAAAAACACACACCAACAAATTCAGAGATTGTGTGCTGATTAGAAAGGTTTAAAGTGTAATGGTCATATTCACAAAATGAATCAAAAGCTAAGTAGCTTCAAGATAGACCCAATAAGCTTAAGCACTCAAGTAAACGGAAAACAGCCAAGTTTCATTTCAATTAAGCAAAAAATCATAACCTAAGCTCCCTTTCAACTTAATAAGAATAATAAAGAATTTTTATCTGACACTTACTAAGAGCTTAAATCTTCCAGTAGCAATGTTGCAAATTCAAAAATTGATTGACTAATCTTAGAAACTCAAAACCTATGATCAATATATCAAATACCACAGAGACACAATTGCAAATTAACCAGCCAAACTATTTATCGATTCAAGAAACCGAAAATAGAAAACCAAAGAAACAAATTGAAACCCCACAAACCTAAAAAGAACACCAAGCAAGATTGAGCAAGCTAACTAGCCAAAGGTAGAAGTAACAGGCTATCATGATGAAGGACTTGCCATAAGAAAGCTTCTAGAAGCTCTTCTTGGCCTGAAACCCAAGTAAAGCATGAAGAGAAGCGAGGAGACAATAAGAGCCAAGTTGTGCCAAAACCCATGGCATTCAAAGAGCCACCCGTATTACCTATGAGAGAAGGAGATGAATTGATTGGGTTCTGGGTCTCTAAAACGAAAAATGGAGATTCCACGATGGTGTCAAGAGGTCACATTTTGGGGGTTTAAGATGGAGAGAAGTATCGAAATTCCCTAACTAGAGCACCCAAAACAATAAAGAAAAACCTTAAAAGGAAGAGATTTAGGGATGGAGCAATCCGTAGATAGAGCAGATGGGTAGAGAAGAGCAATCGATAAATGAGGATTTTGGAAAAGTCAAGCTCGGGATCTGGTGAGAAGTGTGATAGATGGAAGATGGGTAGAGAGGAATGATCGAAAGGTAGAGTTGAGAAGAGTTATCGGGAGTAGAGGGAGATGCAAAATTAGATTTTTTTTACTAGTTTATATAGTGGTTTAATCGTAATTTTGTTAAAATATGAGGATAAAATAAGTACAATGAGCAATTTTCATTAAATGGAAGCAAGAAGCACCCACAAAAGCAAGGATTTCTTGTTTCTAGAGTTTTTAAAGGGTGGAAGCTAGGTTGAGATTCTCACCAACTGAAGGCCATTTCAGAAGTAAGGGTGTTTGGTGCAGTTAGAGCTTTTGGACTTCAAAAGCCCTTCCTACCAGCTGCACCAAACATGCACTTAGTAGTGTTTGGCATAGCTTTTGCTTTTAAACCAAAAAAGGTATTCTTACTAGCTACACCAAACGCATACTATATATCCTAACTCATAGCAAGAGCATCCCCTTACCCAACAAAACTGGTTCCCAATAATCCCGACTATTGTCTTCAACCTTATTTATCTCATAAAATTGGCTATAAGTATACTGATCTTTAGTGACATCAATTGTCTCTTTCTTATAATTCTCTGCTCATTGTTCCACAAAATCTCTAATAAGCACTAACTATAGAAATCAAATTTCACTACAAAACACTTTAGCATATTGTAAAACTATGTAAACCACCAATTATAAACAAGCCTGACTCAATATGACCTAATAGGAGCACAAACAGCTTCAAAAACTCATGACCTCACTAGCCAACACTTCATCTATTCATGCTGAGACTTTTTGATTTTGTGAATGATTTTCAATTGAATTTGCACTTTATCTTTCTTTCGTGACTCCAAGAAAATTGATATTGGCTCTCAATTGCACCATCATTCACCACCAACTACAAGCACAAGAAAACGATGCTTAATCCAGACTTGCTGACCCCCAATCAAACCCAATCCCTCATTCTCAATAATTCCAAACTCCATTAAAATCTTGGTTGGATTGAACCCAAGAGAATCCACTTGATTGAACCATGTTGACCTTCAAGGGTGACTCGTGTAGTTCTCCTACAAAGTTGGCTTGATTAAACCGCGATCACTGGTCTCAAATTGATGAAATCAGGTCGATAAAACCTAAAAGGCTCCATGATGTCCCTTCTCCCTTTTAGAATCTGCACCATCACCCTTGATCAAGACCGTGGAGTGGCCATGGTCTCCCCCGTGTACTTCTCCCTTTTGGAGGCGGCACTATTAGTCTTCTCTAGTTTGGAATTGGTGTATATGGGAGTCGCCATCACCAGAGGGGATAGTTTCTAGTATGCCCTATCTCGACCTTATCCTACATTTTGTCCTCAAATTACTTGAAACAATGTCCTCAAATTACTTGAGGGTTACAAGCATATCAACTTTGAATTGAAGGGGCTTGGAGACAAGGAAGCAATTAGAGAAATGGAAGAAGATAGAAAAGCTAATATTTTTTATTTAGGGTTCCTAGGGTTTTCAAGTTTTCTACCATGGCAATCAGTTTATTTGGAAACAGAAATAGACAATTGGAGAATAAATGGCAACAAGTTTAGGCTATTCCCTCACCTAACTTCAACCTGTAAAATAATATTTTTTAAAAGAATGTGTCAATTAGGGTAAGGAACTGGATGTACCCCAATAATCATCCTAGAAAAAATGCCATTACTATGTACATTTCTAAATTAGGAAAATGATACGTTTACCTTCAAACTGACACACTGCATTATCTACTTCCTCCCCAAGCGCCTCCGCAATTTGTAGAGGTAATGGCCTTCCGGAGCCAAAGAGGGAATGACAACGTATACATAACAGCTTCCCCATACGTCGTTCTCTAACGTCATTCCTCAGCCCTTTTTTGGGTCTAGGAGCAGCAAGCTGGCCATTGTCAGCACTTACACCTGTAAAAAATATATATATATAACCGACAAATTATGAACACAATATTAAAACGAAAGCCACCTGTAAAAAAAATGGACGCTGATAGGTGCACACCATGAATCAACACCCAACTCAACACACCCTACAAAACCAAAAAATTTTAAAAATACAATTACAAATTTACCTTCCCACCTTCTTCCTCTTTTTTTTTTTTCTCATTTTTTCTCCAGCAGAACCCA